CCTGGAGGATGGCTCTGCTTCCATATTCTCTTTGTAGAGGCCCACACACAAGTGATGTGGTCAGGAACTGAGGCCTCCGATTCACAGCTACATTATAAGGTTCCTGTGAGTGGCAGTGAATGAGGGCTGTGCTCACATTCCCCTGGTAGAGGCCTCACAGTCACACTAGGTGTAGGGATATGGCAAATCTGTTCACATGCCAATGTTTAAGGCTCTATAGATTAAGAAGTGTTCACCTCAAACAGGGCTGAATTGACATCCACTTTGTACAGGGCTCTACACATGCCTGAGATTGTCCAGTCATGAAAGGGCACTGCCCACATAGAGTTGCATACCTGCCTAAGTGGTTGACCCAATGGGCTGCTCTCTTCAGATTCCATGAATCTGAAGATTCATGAGTGAAGAGGTCTCCACTCATTCATGAAAAGAGCACAAGACGGGGATGGATATGCTTTCATCCATATTGCAGAAGGTTTGCACCTACCTGAGGGGTCAGGAAATGCTGGGCCTGTTTTCACATCCAATTTCTAGTGAGCTCCACAAATGATGGAGTTATACTGAGCACGAGGCACTGTGCTGTCATTTGATTTGTATTGGGACCACACATAGCCAGGATTGTCAGGACATGGAAGGGCTCTGTTGACATTCCTGTTGCTCAGGGCTCCATCAATGCCTGAGTAGGTCAGGACATAAGGGTGCTGTGTTTTTAACCCCAGGCTACAGGGTCCCACATGTGGGTGCAGGGGTCAGGACATTCAGAGGCTCTGATCACATTCGCATTGTAGAGGGTGCTGGACACACCTGTGTTTGTCAGAAGTGGTGATTCCTGGGTAAACCCATGTTTTGGAGGTTTCTGCACTTGCCTGAAATTATCAGGGCCTGTGGGGGTGCGGGGTCCATGTTCATACATAGGTATTTTAATACTCCACACCCCCTGAGATGTTAGACTTTTTTTTCTGTCTTATCATGTACTTGTGGTAGGTGACTCAAACACCTGAGGTGGGCTATGTGGGGAAGTTCAGCTCATCATTGTGTGAGCACCCCACACACCTTACATAGTCAGAACACGAGGGGCTCCAGTCACATCCTCTTTATACTGTGTTCTATATGGCTGACAAGGTCTCCTTACAGGGGTTCTTCTCACTTCCTCATTTTGGAAGGCTCCATATTTCTGAGGTAGTGAGAAGTGAGGCTTTTTGCTCATTCATGTCGTAGAAGGCCCTACACCTGCCCGACCTTGTCAGGAGATGGTTGTGGGGGTGGTGTCTGCTCACAGTCATGTTGCAGAGACTGCATACATGCCTGGGATGATGGATGGGACTTCTCCTCACATTAATATTTTAGAGAATTCCACACATCTGATTTGGTCAGGATTTATGGGGGTGGCTCTGCTTCCTTCTGCATTTTAGAAGACTTCACATACACCTTCGATGGTCAGGACTACAGGATCTCTGGTCACATCTACATTCTAGAGGACCCTACTCATGCATGAGATCAGCTGTGTAAGAGGGCACCACATCCCATGCACACTGTGGAAGATGCTTGAGGTATTCAAGATGAGGTGGGATCTGCCTGTATCCCATTCTAGAGGCCTCGTGTATATCCCTGAGATGGTTATGACATGGGGGTGTGGGGCTCCTCAAATGGTGCAGGGTACCTCAAAGGCCTGAGGTTGTCTGCACATTGCAGACATGGGGGCCTCTCACATACTTGGACCCACTCCCAGGTCAGGACTCGTGTGCTCTGCTCGCACCCACATTGCAGAGGGCTCTACATACCAGAGGTGCTCAGGATGAGGGGTGGGCTGCTCACAGCACTGTTTCAGAGGGCTCCACAGCCTTGGCTCTCATGACCTGGAAGGCTCTGGTCACATCCTCCCTGTGACCAATGACTCCACAGACCTGAGAAGGTGAGGGGAAATGTATTTTATTCACATCCACATTGTAGAACTTCTTGCAAGCTCCCGTGAGATCTGGGTGGTATAGAAGAGATGAGACACGGTGTGGAGCTTCCCATTGTGAGCCCCACCATAGCCGGTCCTGTTTCTTTCACAGCCAGGATGTACCTTTGTTGTTACTTCTGTCCCTTTGTCTCTGTCTGTGTGTCCTATGTTTGCTCTGCAGAGCTATTTCTTCCTTACCTTTACACCCCTCATGTAAAATAATCTTGTGGGGGGTTTGCTCCCATTCCCCATATATAGGGCTCCACACCTGCCCGAGGTTGTCAGGATGTGGGGTGCCCAGCTCACATCCACATACTGAGGGCTCTGTACACACCTGAGATGGTCAGATGCCAGGGAAAGGATTAAAAGTGAGAGTCTGTGAAATGAGGGTTTCCTGAAAGACCTTGGCTTGCATAATAGAGAAATGCCGTACAATATGACAGGTCCTTACCTTGCCATGTTTTTTTCCCCACAGAATGTTTCGTTCCAGAAGTATAACAGTTTGTGCTGCTGGGCAGTGCTCCTGCCCAATATATCAAAATGTTTTGTATCTGTTTGAAATGTGTGCCCTCTTAGGAATCTTCTGTTAGCTCTGCCCCTCTGAGGATGTTCTGTTAGGTCTGCCCCTCTCAGGAACCTTCTGTTAGCTCTGCCCCTTTCAGGAATGCTCTGTAACTCTTCTCCCTTCCCCCTGCTTCAGTGAGCATGCTCACCCAGCATGTGTTTGAGGAATGTTCTGTAACTCCATCCACTCCTCTGCTTCCTTGAGCATGTTTGCCTATCCTGTAGAGCCCTATATAAGGAGGCACTCATTCTGGTAGGGTGCTCAGACATCAGAGTAGGAACTCCTCTGAGTCTGCCGGTATAATAAAGGTTTTTCTCCACCTTTTCAAGTGACTGTTGGATTCTTGAGTCCTCAAATTACAGTGGTCATGATACCAAGCTGTAACACTTGGCTGTGCCTCAGAGCTGTGAGACTCGCTGTAACAGGGAGGTGTAGTACTTTTCTATAGCAACAAGCTGTTCCCCTTCCCCGTAACAGCATCCCTTACTATAGAAAGGCTATCTCTGGAGAAAGGAGTGTATAGAGATAACTGTTAACACACACCAAAAAATGACCATTCCCAGGATCTCGCCAAAGCTGGCGAGATAGTGGCACCATAGTGGCACCAAGTCACTTTTGTCTGAACACAGTACTCCAGAATCTGAGTTTTCTGTGGTGTTTTGTCTCCTGCCTGCACAAGGCTCTATCTCATGCAAGACCCTTCATCTTTGGTTCTGTTTCCTGCCTGGTTGTGTGGTAATATATTATTTGACCATGCTCATATCTGCTGTACTTTTATAATAAACTTACTTCCATCTTTTTAAAATCTTTATGTGACTCTTCTCTGCTCATGCAGATCTGAAACTCAAATTTTTGTGGCTACAACCTGAATGTGGCTCCTTGCTGTTACATTAGGTCCCTTGATCAGATACTTATCTTAGGGGCCACCATACTTCTGAGGTGGTCATGACCTCCTCATTGCCTCCACAAATAGCTAAAAAGGTCAGGTCATGGGGGTCTCTGTTCACATCATCCTTGTTGGGGGCTCCACACATCTGAGTTGATGAGGGTGCAGGAGAACTGCTTGCTTACCATCTCATTGTCCAGGACTCCAGTAGCGGCCAAGACAGTCAGGACATTGTACAGGTGGCTATTCCTGCCTGAGATCCTCAGGACATGGGAGGCTGTGGTCACTGCCTTGTTTTACAGAGCTCCACACACACCTGAAGTGGTCAGGGTTTTGTTGCTATGCTATAGTGTGAGGTCATAGAACATACCTGGCAATAGAATTTCCTGTAGTAAATGGCATAAAAATTCTTTTAAAAATGTTTCTAAGAAATTATACCAAGAGCCCAGCAGCTGCTTACTTTGATAGTCTGGAGGCTACTTTCTGAAGTGTGCTAAAGCATTTTACCATGCCCTATCCCCACTACTGAAATTTGAACACATGTTTACTCTGCCATTGAGGTAGAAACCTATTTATTTATTTATTTAGGAGACATAGTCTTACTATGTTGTCCAGGCTGGGACCAAACATGTAATCATCTTGCCTCAGCCTCCCGAGTAGCTGGGTTTCTAGGGACATGACCCTAGGTCTGCCATGGCGCTAGTTTTGTTGATAGTTCTGCTATGGTGAATCTTAGGGGAAAAAAACAATATATGTTGACAACAGGTTATTCCTGTACCAGGGTTCCTCTTTTCTTGTTTTTGCTCACACTCCTTAGAGTACATAAGGAATGAGATAGATTAATGTCTCCAAAGCAGGCAGGTGGATAGGTTATGAAATTCTAGGAGAAGGTAAGATGACTGCATTGTGCTCCAGGTGCTGCGGCAACCACGGTGCTGATTTTGGAGTCACTCATATGGTGCTGTCCTGTCACTAGGCTGACAGCTCACCAGCCCTGTGTCACCTTGGCTTTACCCACCAAAAAAAAACGAGGCAGGCAGGTTTGATCTTTGCTGTGCTGAACCCATGTCAGCCTTCACGCGCAAGGTCACACACCTGAGTCTGAGGTTGGTGGTTGGTGAGGCCTGGGAGGCTCATCTGAAACAGTGGTTCCCATGCTAGTTCACTCCTGGTGTTCTGCGGCATGCTGAAGGGGAGGATGAGCTTCAATTCTGGGCACATGAGACACAGCATGTAGTGCCACCTAGGATAAGGAACAGTTGCATCAGAGGTTTGAGGAGAAGCTTGCGGGAAGAACACTAAGTGCAGTAAACGGTTTCTCTTTAACTTTTGCTATGAGTAAGAAAACCGGCTTTATTCAACCTGAGGGGCAGACATGGCTGGGAGGTGCTCGGGAGGATTTTACAAGAGTCAGACTCGATCAACAGCAGTTTAATTCTTACTGAAACAGCCTTAGTGGGATGGCAGCGTAGGTCATTGGGAGAACACTTGCCCCACATGCACAAGGTCCTGAGTTCAATCCCCAGTATCACAATTAAAACAAAACACAACACAATGCCTCTCAGTATACTGTCAGAATTATCATAGTCACTGAAGTTTACTCATTTAAACTGTAAGTGTAGAGCCAGGTCATTTGTGGCTTTTATTTTATAATATTTGGAGGAGAAGTGAAGTGTATTTAAGCAGCGGAGTAGTGAATTTTGTTTAAACCTTGTGTAGTCATGTTTGTCTGTAATTCCAGTCCTCTGGGAGACTGAGAGAGAAGAACCTAAAGCTTGAGTCAAGCCTGCACAACATAGCGACTTAGTGACATCCTGTATTAAAATAAAATTATAGAAAAGAGATGGGATGTTATTCAATGAGAAGACCCTGGGTTTGTTCCCGGTATCACAAAAAACAAACCAAACCAAAGCAAAACCATCCATTTGCTTATACAAGTGTAACTTCATCATGGGAATAATAACTAAGATGATGCCATTATGTAGAAAACTACTTGTTGCATAGCCAATGATTTTGTGATAATAAAATAGAAACATAGATTTTGAACATTATAAGGGACTTCTGCAGCCCATTATTCTATGTTTTTCCTATTGATGCAGGTGCCCAGCCTCTCTTTGTCAAATCTGAAGCATGTGCACAGCACACACATGGTACAGTTGTAGAAACTGAGAGAAATGTTAATAATTTGAAACATTTTTCCCTCTGGAGAATCACAAGCAAAGTGAATATTACAGTGATCACATCCAAATTTTACAACCACCATTCTGTCAGCTGTAGGAGGTGGAGAAGTAGTTAGAGGGAGAAGGTAGAAATGAGGAGACCTTCATGGGCTGTTGGAGTGACCAAGTGAGAGGTCAGGCATCTGGAGGAGACTGGCAGCAGGAGACGGGAGAGCAGCAAACTGCTTGGGATCTTCCACTGTCCCATCAGTGGGATGTGCAGAGAAGCAGAGGACTGGGGACAGCACCCAGCTTCTCCCAATGCCACTGAGTGAGGTGCTGAGTTTGATGTGTGTATTACGTGACAGCATGGAGAAGCCAGGGAGGTGAGTGGATGTGCTGTTTGGGAGTTTCTGGAGAGTTGAGGCTCAAATGGAACATGGGTGTCATCAGCACTTACACTGAAAGTTGTGGTAATGTGACATACTGTAGCAGAATGAGGCAAGCAGGACAGACACACAGGCAGAGAAAGGCAGAAGTGGCAGTGTTGAGCCAGAGATTGAGATATAAAGAATGTTACCATTGAGTAAAAAGGAAAATGAGAGGTTAGTATCTCAGACATCAATAATAATGTCCAACAAAGTAGGGAACCATACTTTCTTAAGATAGTACAATGTACATGTCCCACAAATGATCACTGAATGTGGCACGGGAATAGGATACGAAGCTAACACAGTACTTAATGGCCTGCATTCCCAGAAATGATAGAAGACCATAATGGAAGAGAAGATCCCATTTACAGTGCCATAGCATGCAAGGTGTATATAAGACCTAGATTGGAGAAACATTGAGACTCACAAAGGACCCCAAATTAGACATAAATCAAGGAAAGATGGTCCTTCCTCTTGGAAAAGACAACATTGTGAAATTGTCTGTTTTCTGTCAATTATTATATAGATCTGATATATGCCCAGGATCTGCACCAGGGATTTGTTGAGGTGCATGGGATCTTTATATTGTGGGTATCAGAACCTCCTCAGATAAACAATTTTCAAATGTTTTCTCCTGTTCTAAGAGCTGTCTTTCCAAGTTCTTGATGATGAGCTTTGATGTGCAGAAGTTCAAAGAATTATTTTTGCAGTCCTGTAGATTGGTCCCATGGCAGGCAGGTACTCTACCACTGAGCTGCATTTCACCTCCAAAAGATTTTAATTTTGATGAAGTCAATTATGTATTTTTTCTTTTATGTGTGTTTTCGGTGCCACCTTTAAGAAACCATTGTTAAATCCCAGGTTGTGAACCTTTACCCTTATTTTTTTCTAAGCGTTTCTCAGTTTTAGGTCCTAATGTGGATATTTGATGTACTCTGAGTTAATTTTTGTAAATAGTATGAGGAAGGATTCCAATTTGTTCATTTAAATGTGGCTGTCTAAGGGCCAGGGATTTAGCTCTATGGTTTCGCCACCTGCTGCACAAGTACAAGGACCCGAGTTTGATCCCGGGTACCAAAGAAAAAATGTGGCTGTCTTGCACTGCACCCTTCCTTTGTCCTTTTGGTATGTCCTCGTGAAGCAGGACAGAAAAAGTAAAGATACTTTGAAAATATGAGGATAGAAAAAGTAAAGATATTTTTCTATCTAGAAAGGAGATATTTTTGTCTCCTTTATTACCTTAAAACTCTGCACATAGACATAATCACTTAAGGACTTCCTGTATTGCAAGGTTTATAACTAAATGACCCCAGTCTGTTTCATCATCCTACAAGGCCTAAGGTCACCAAGTTAAGCATAAAGTGATTTTCAGGGCTTACAGGTAGTAAACCCCATTAAGACTCAGTGTTCTAGCAAAATAGGATTATAAGCTGTCCCAAAGCAAAGCCCAGATTTCTCAACAAAAGATGACACATCTGAGATATCTTTTAACTCTACAACAAAGACAATTGTTCTCTAGGAAAACAGAGAGATACAATTGGGTATGTGGATCCCCCAGAGTCCAAATAGCAACAGAAGGCTTTCTTGGCAATGGCAGACTTGTGCCCCATATAGATACCCCATTTTGGAGTAATAGTCAAACCAGTGTATGAGGCAACTTGGAAGACCAGAAACTTAATGCTCCCATGGACAACAGCTGCTCAAAAAGCTTTTAACACTTTAAAACAGCCTTTGATGCAGGCCCCAGCATTAGAAATCCCAGACCTAACTAAGACTTTCTTTTTGTGAGTGAGACACAGAAGTAGCCGTGAGAGTGCTAACTCAACCTTTGGGCCAAAAATACCAACCAGTT